ACTTAAAAGTCTTGTTACTTAAAAGTAATTAAATATTGCCGCGGAATATTTTCCTACAACTTTCTTCACGAAAATATACATTAATTTCTTCATGTATATAACAATTTTCGAATGAATTTCGGGTGTGCCAATAAAAATTGTTAAATCAGAATTTTTGTTTCCCAAATTATCCTCATCTTATAATCAATGTAATTCTTTTTCGTTTGGTATCACACTTGTTTTATTACTTTAGATTTGTTCGTTTTGATAAAAAGAAAATTTTTACCGTTTAGTGTTAAAATTTTGAGATATATTAAACTTTTAAAATGAAAAAAAGTCGGTAAATTTCAAAAATTACAATAAAACTGCGACGGATATTCTGCACACTTTTGAAACTTCACAGAAATTTTGTAATTAGTGCCAACTTTCACTGCCTCTAATACGAACATTCTATCTTAAAATTTCCTAAAGTTATTAAAAAAGAAGAAATTCTTAGTTTTTCGTGTTACAATAAAAAATGAGTAATTTCGGTACTTTTTCGCCGAATAATAATTTTAAGGATCAACTTCATAGCTACCGCGTTTTCTCCTAAAAAATACTCGCTTCGAATAGAGGAGTTCGGGAGGCGTAGTTGGCATCCCCTCTGCGATGGCCACACTCGCTAGTCGCTGCAGCATCTTTTCTTGGACTTAAGTATCAATGATTGATGAGGCCTATATAAGCAATAAGCTAAAGTTATTTGAGTGGATTCATACAAATAAAATATTCATTACCGATGCAGTGTATGCAATTACCTCAAGAACTTTCCTTTTGTAAAACTGATTTGCGTGTCCTCTTATCTAGGTATATAAATATATTTACAATACGCGAAAACATTTTTTGTGAATGTCATCAAATCTACACTGTTCCTTCTCTCATTGTGCAATAAAGTTTTATTTTTTTGAAAATGGTTGCCACCTATTGAAAAATTTAATTCAAATTATTGAATGAGTTAAATGATTATTACAATATTGGTATCATTTGAAATAGATTTGAACTGGGCTTTGTAACTGGTTGTAGGAGGGTTGCCACCTGCTTAAAAAGTCAAATTCAACTTAAACTAAGGCAATTAGGTGGATTAAATATGTAACATAATGTGGTTGCCAGATGAAAGAGGTTTTAGATGGTTTCAGTTTGAACATGTTCTTAACAGGGTTGCCACCTGTTCAAAAAGTCCAATTAAATAAAATTGCACACCATTTATATGAAATACTAAAATGTCGATGTAGAAAATCTTTAGTTTAAATATTCAAAATATTTTTAATTTGAAAATGGTTGCCACCCGTTTGAAAATCTAAATTGAAATTGTTGGACAACCTAAATGAATTATCACAATATGGGTAGCAATCGAAATGAGTTTGAAAAGGCTTTATTCCCAAAATGTATGTGGGAGGGTTGCCACCTATTAAAAAAAAAACAAAATAAAATTGAATAAAGGGAATTCGGTAATTGAAACACATATCATAGTATGGCTGTCAGGCAAGGTTCTGGATTATTTAATTTTAAAATACTTTTGAGAACGGTTGCCACCTGTACGAAAAGTCAAACTTGAAAAGTTGAATTTCAATAAATTGTACACGAATTATGTGAAATATATTAGTATTTGTGTCTAAAGAAAGAGTTTTAAGGAAGCTTTAGTTTAAAAGTACGAATTATTATTGGGGTTGCCACACATTATAAGAGCAAAATTTATTTTTATTACATATATGATGGATAAGTCTATGAAATCTTCTTTATTTAGTAACAATTACGATGCAATTGAAATTGGCTTGATGCAAAAATAATTTTCGCAACTTTTGAAAATTGCTCCTATTGTGTGAAATTTTTTGACCAATGATTTCGGCGTTTTATCGGCAATAATTCTTAATAGATTTATTCTACCTGTGAAAAGTTAATTATAAAGCTATATTCCTTAACTAATAACTTAAATTATCAGCAAGGTTGCATTAGGTAAACACAATATGCGAGCAGCACACTGAATTGCAACAAGCTGTCGCTCAATCTTTTCAAATTGCCATAATAAGTGCAAGTCAATCGCCTTGACATCCCAATGCTACAGTTACCCAGCGAAAAATGTTTGCTTTTCTTTTAGCTGAACGAACATTCAATACAGGAGATTGACTAAGTTTACGTTTAACTTCCGACATTTACTCTGTTGTTACTGGCAATACTTACGCTAAGAAAGTTGTAGCTGGTTGTCAGCTATTGATTGTCGACAGCATAACAATACCTTTTTGTATTAGCTTTATTTTCATAGCTGTCACAAGTGCTAGTTGAAATGTGGAATCGTCGAACCAAGGATAATGCATTACTTGCAGCTCCTGAAAGTGCTGGTGCATGGCGCGTTTTTCATTGCTAAAAGAATTTGTATATGTAGTACATACCTCTATAGTCGTTGAGTGTTTTGGGTTATAAAAGTGGGCAACACTTAGAGCAAAACTTGGAATAAATTTGAAGTATTTTTAGTAATGGTTTCTACAGACAGCTTCTTTTTTGGGTTTGAAGCCGTCCATCAAAAAGGTTTTGAACAAATATTTACGAAATAGACCGCAGAGTGGTATTTAATTCGAAAACCTGACTAAAAGTCAATATTTCACACTCATTGATTGAACCCTGGTCCGCGGAGTGTTAGGACGCCCTTCTAGTTACTCAGCCACCGTGGCCGTCCGTGGACTGCCTCGCCTAAATATTCCGACTTTTTATAACCCAACCAAAGTTCTTTTCACCCTGCTGGGCAGTTCTTCAATTGATCCCATCTTTCCAAGTTTGGTAAAAGTCTATATGCTTCTGGATTTTGAGCTTTAGGCGTGAAAGTTTTCAGAGTACTAAGCCGGCACTAAACGATGCTATATCTCTCTCCAAATTTTTTTTCTTTGATTTACTTGCAGGCTATTCAATGAAATAGTTATCTTGCAGCAGCTAGGCCGATACTGATAGAACTGCGCAGGAATTTTTTGTAGAATTCTTCGTCGCATAGGAAAGCTCTATGGCCTCTGTTGACTTCCTCACAAAAAAACCCGGCGTACCGGGCTCTCGGGTTGGCTTAGGTCATATCCATCGCCATGCCCGAAATCCAGCTACTTTACCCTTTGACTATATCACTATATCTCATGTATGTATTTGGACATGCTCTCGTAGGTGGCCACTATCCACTCATATTTAATACAGTTGTAGATTCGCACAAACGTTCAGGATCCATCCTCCTGGCAATATTTTTAAGCCATTTATCACCATCAGTAGCCAAGACTATTCCCCAGAAGCCCGTGGTTTCCAAATACTTATGTAGATCGTAAGATGGTAGTTTCTATGGTATTGATCTCAGAGTATTAAGCTTAAGGTAAGGAGTGATGAAAAGAAAGGCGACGAAATTTACATTAGGTACTGTACCCGAGCTGATAATTTTCTCCACTATGTTGGCTGAATAGTCTATCCTCTGTTGTGCCCACCGCAGGTTTGCTTGCATCGTCTTCATAGACCTATGAGGTAGTGTTGTTAGGCGTAGTGTGGCTGGTGGTGACTGAGACCGACCCGGTAACCGTCTAATGACTGGAGCGGAATAGAGCGTCGTTGTCAAATTGATGGTAGGGCAGTTAACTTCCCCTCTGAAGCCTGTGGGACACTTGAACATCATGATTGTCCACTTTACTATGCAAGGAGACTTCGACGGATCCGTGGTAAATTAGGGCGGACTCCACCAGCCGACCAGAGTAGCACCCCTAAATCCTATCATAGTAACCCTTTGTCGAGTAGTTTAGTGACCGTATTTTGTCGTTTTTCTCGATCAAGTCATTAACGGTTTCTATGGGGAGAAACAACTCTTAAAAACCCCCATGCTAAATCGGTCAATAAATCATTGATTGCCTTGCAGCCAGTTTGATTCAAAAAAAAAAAAAAATTGTCAGAATTTTATGAAATTTGATATCCAGAGGTTATCTGAGTCGCTGTTTACAAAACTAAAATCAGTTTTCAAAAATTCAAAATGGCAGATCCAATATGAAAAATGGTTTTTTCGAAAATTTTTATTAAATTTTATATCCAAAGCTTCTTTGAGTCGCTAAGTACAAAACTGGAATAAGTTTTCAAAAATTCAAAATGGCGGATCCAATATGGCAGATGGATTTTAAAAATTTTTTTAGATTTTTATGAAATCTAATACCCAAAGGTTCTGTTAGTCGCTGAGTAAAAAAATTAAATCAGTTTTCAAAAATTCAAAATGGCGCATGGATTTTTCAAACATTTTAAAATTTTTATGAAATTTGGCATCCAAGGATTCTTTGAGGCGGTGGTGATTACAAAAGTTAAATCAGTTTTAAAAATTCAAAATGGCGGATGGGATTTTCAAAAACTTTCAGATTTTTATGAAATTTGATAGCCAAAAATTCTTTGAGTCGCTGATTACAAAACAATAGGGCAAATGGATTTTTTTTTTAATTTTCAGATTTTTATGAAATTTAATATAACAAGTTTCTTTGCGTCGCTAATTACAAAACTAAAATCAGTTTTTAAATATTCGAAGTGGCCGTTCCAATATGAAGGATGGATTTTTCAAACTTTTTTAGATTTTTATGAAATTTGGTATTCGCAGATTTTTTGAGCCACTGATTACAAAACTCAAAGAACCTTCGGCTGTAAAATTTCATAAAAATCTAATTTTTTTTAACCCAAACGCCATTTTGGCACTTTTCTTGCAGCTAATTTCCGAAACTGAAAATTTTTTTCAAAATTAAAAAAAAAACCTTTAATTTTCTCGAACGGTGATATTTTCAACTGATAGCTTGCAAGTACTACTTTAAAAAAATTTATTAAGCTAACCGCTACTACAACATTCTAATCATTTGCTCCTTTCCTTCCTCCGAAAATATATATGTACTTATGAGCTTTTAATTTTATTATACTCCTATGTATTATATTAGATGCTTAGTCATTCAAATCAGCTTATTTCCAAATGATCAGCTTAAAAAATTTCCACATAACTTTTGCAGCTTACTACAACCAAAATATGTTCATCATCAAGGCCACCACCACCAATCCGTCTCCATTATCCTTGCGGCATTTGTTTGCATTCGCTGTGCTCTTACTTACCATGTCGCCAGCTACCGCCACCGCCACCGCCACAGCAGCCGCAGCCACAGCCGCAGCAAACATACCGTTGACAGAGCAGTCAGCTAATGCTGTGAATGGAGAAAACAATTTACTGGCAAACCAACGCCATGCAGAGGGGGAAGTTGTGTCGCGAGGACAAGCAGTAATTGATATGGTACCCATGGCAGGTAAGCTTTGTTGATTTGGCGTCGTGAGGTAATCCAATTAAGTGATTTTGCAATGATTCATTGCAATTAAATATTTATGGAATTTGTTTTGTGTGGAATTTCTTTTAGAATGCATGAAGTATGGTGGTAGAATTTTAGGGTGAGAGTGTGTGGACAACGAACGTTTTATTAGATAATTGAAAAAAAGAATGAAATTGTATAATTGTCGACGGTACTTTAAATTACTAGCGTTTATTCAATTGAAAGTAGTAGCTTACTTTCATTCGTTCATTGAACTGTTAATAATTTTAAACTCTTTGGTTGTTAGTTACCTTTGCATTGCAGAAGTATATAAAAAAGGTAAAGATTAAGTAAGGTAAGTTTTTTTTTGTGAACTCCTCGCTGTCGATTTGCAGTCCGTCAGCGCCAGCGGCTTTGTTGTTTGTCAGCTGCGAATTTGCCCCTAGTGCCTCATCTTAGTCATACGCCGAATATGTTTCCATCGGAGCTTAGAAACACGAGCTATAACCTATCGGATGTTTCGTCAGCGAGGCTAAAGTTTTTCACAGTGGGACCAAAGATCCCTTCCTCTCGTTTCGCAAGTAGCGCCAAAATTTCTCCCACAAATGCACGTCCTTTAAAAATACAAATCCTCCCTCGGTTTGGAGGTGTTCGCCTGCAGCCTTCCGACAGAGTCAAGTACTTGAGACTGATCTTAGATAGAGATAGGAAGCGAAAACCTAGGTAAGGTTTGCGGTGGATATAACAAAAAAAGGGCGTACTTCGCAATTTAAATAGGAGATTGTTCTTTGAACGGAGACCATTACTTAGTCGATAAATTCCCACAATTTCATACAGGGTATTCTCCATAGGCATTCCTTTACTGCAATCACATTAAGATTTAGATAGACGATAGAGGAATCCCATTTGTTATGAGCAGGCTTATCAATCTTCCTCGCGTCTTCAGCAGAAACAAAGATTGACTGATTGACCTAAAATCTGTAGGTAAAACATGAGACCACTTCTCAAAATTCGGAATAAACGCCTCCCTGACGACTTTGTTGCGATCATACGAACCTACAAAACTACAGCTGCGTCAGGATTGGTTGATCTTGCGCAGAGGGCGATCACTCCACGGAGTAAAAGCAATTCCTTTGCAAATCGTCGTGGGAAATCATGGATTCCATAAAAGTGCGCGGGGGTACATTGATTAAAAAGAATCGTAGCGTAACGGTGGAGATTCGGCTGTCCCAGGTGTTGAAATGAAAAAGTTTGAAACGGCTAAAAAATCGCGCTGATTTTTGAAAATTTTTTTGGAGGATTTTTTTCGGGTTTTTTATATAACAAGCGCAATTTACCAAAACTTGCGTTGATATTTTGAAATTTCGTTGCTGACGGTTTTCATTCCATGAGAAAATCATACTTTTATGAAAAAAGGTGCAAAAAGCCGTAGTAAAAATTCTCAAATATTTACGCGATTTTTTAGTCGTTCGAACCTTGCACCTCATTAGATTAAAATTGTGTGGGCTATAAAACTGCATACCCAAAAATTTTCTAAAATATCGGAATAAAAAGTTGAAATTTTGATGAAAATTTGTTGAATTTTCCTAAATTTTGTTTTGGTTAAAGCTTAGACGATATTTTTATATAAAATTAACAAAAAAAAATTTGCTCGAAAAACATTACGAATATATGAAGAAAATCAACACGTGGTCGTTTGTTTGAGTCACTGTATATAGTTCAATGGTTGTAGTGGAAGTGCAAATTCCTTTAAAACTGAAAAGAAAAAATCTTTTAAAATGAATATGCATAAGTACGGCACACAAACAATTAAATTCAGCTTGCGATGCAACTTCTTCTTCTTCTTCTTCTTCTTTGGCGATGCAACTGCGTGCACAAAATATTGCTGCATTAGAACTTTGTACGAGTAGTACGCTGAAAGCATTACACTTCCGCTCAAGGTCTTAAATCACTTATGTAAGTTCGTTTCCTTTTAAGTACAAAAAAGCAAAATTTCACGCGCACATCAAAACGTCTTGAGCTGAAACTAAAATTATACATTGCCGCTTTGCTCAAGAATTTTCTCGTTAATGTTAAAGTCATTAGCGAAAACGAAATTGTCGCATCAAGCCGTTATAGCTGCCACACTTAAGATCGCACTGCGTGTGTTGCTGGCTGCATCAAAATGGCGCTGGTAAGGATGCCAGCAGCGGCAACGTTGCTTTTTTCAAGTNGTTTGAGTCACTGTATATAGTTCAATGGTTGTAGTGGAAGTGCAAATTCCTTTAAAACTGAAAAGAAAAAATCTTTTAAAATGAATATGCATAAGTACGGCACACAAACAATTAAATTCAGCTTTCGATGCAACTTCTTCTTCTTCTTCTTCTTTGGCGATGCAACTGCGTGCACAAAATATTGCTGCATTAGAACTTTGTACGAGTAGTACGCTGAAAGCATTACACTTCCGCTCAAGGTCTTAAATCACTTATGTAAGTTCGTTTCCTTTTAAGTACAAAAAAGCAAAATTTCACGCGCACATCAAAACGTCTTGAGCTGAAACTAAAATTATACATTGCCGCTTTGCTCAAGAATTTTCTCGTTAATGTTAAAGTCATTAGCGAAAACGAAATTGTCGCATCAAGCCGTTATAGCTGCCACACTTAAGATCGCACTGCGTGTGTTGCTTGCTGCTGCATCAAAATGGCGCTGGTAAGGATGCCAGCAGCGGCAACGTTGCTTTTTTCAAGCTGCCATCCATGTGCTTGAGCACATTTCGACTCAATCACTTCAGCAAACAAAAATAAATTTCGCGCGCTTACCATCAACTTTCGCTGTTGTTTTGATGGCTTTTGCCACGCCACACACACACACACGCCGCACACACACACACACACACATACGCTACATGCGCTTACGGCGTTATTTTCGCTGAGACGCTCGTTTACTTTCGCTCAAATTTTTCCACTGTCACACTTGGCTTACATGTTTGTTGTTGTTATTGCTCTTGTTGCAACATTCAAGTGCAATCTTTTGCAGTAGCGGCACAGCACATCTTCAGATTTTATGTCACTGCCGTCAGTGCAAAGTGACACGCCTCATACATTGACTTACATACGTACATACATACACTCATATGTACATTAGAGTGCATCACCAAAAAATTAGTGGTTTTCCACCGCAATCATAAAACTTTAAGACTTCCGCCAAAATATTTTGGAAAAATATTACGATTTACGTGAGCTAGACCCTTTTGGAGATATCTCCGAAAATCTGATGAAATTAAAAAAAAAATTGTGTGCAGTCCTTTTAAGCTTAAGCTATACTATGNACCATCAACTTTCGCTGTTGTTTTGATGGCTTTTGCCACGCCACACACACACACACGCCGCACACACACACACACACACATACGCTACATGCGCTTACGGCGTTATTTTCGCTGAGACGCTCGTTTACTTTCGCTCAAATTTTTCCACTGTCACACTTGGCTTACATGTTTGTTGTTGTTATTGCTCTTGTTGCAACATTCAAGTGCAATCTTTTGCAGTAGCGGCACAGCACATCTTCAGATTTTATGTCACTGCCGTCAGTGCAAAGTGACACGCCTCATACATTGACTTACATACGTACATACTTTCATATGTACATTAGAGTGCGTCGCCAAAAAAAGTAGCGGTTTTCCACCGCAATCATAAAACTTTAAGACTTTCGCCAAAATATTTTGGAAAAATATTACGATTTACGTGAGCTAGACCCTTTTGGAGATATCTCCGAAAATCTGATGAAATTAAAAAAAAATGGTATGCAGTCCTTTTAAGCTTAAGCTATACTATGAGCTGAGGTAATTTTTTGGAATAATTATAATAAAAAACCAAATTTATTTATAAAACAAACATCGATTTTTGGAGGTATTTTCAAATGGGTCTAGCTAACGTAAATCTTAATATTTTTTTCAAAATATATTGGCGGAAGTTTTTAGATATAATAAATTTCATATTTCTGATGGAAATTTTTTAGACTAATTATATTAAAGAACTAAATTTATTTATAAAAAAAATCGATTTTTCGAGGTATTTTCAAATGGGTCCAGCTAAAGTAAACCTTAATAATACAATATTTTATATAGTTGAATGCACACGAGGGTGGTCCAAAAATCCACGTTCAAAAAAAGCAAAGTCCGAATTTTATTGCTATCACCCCTAGGGTTATTCTATATGGAAGGATATACCCCTGTTATATATTTCGAAATCAAAAAAAAAATTTTCCCCCAAAATAAAATACTAAAATGGAAAAGTTTGACCGCTTTTAGCAATCTTAGTGTGTGAGAGCATTAAAATTCCGACTTTACTTTTTGAGCCACCCTAATGTACACACATATGCAAGTGCAAACCCCGTACGTGGTTGTTGCAGTTATAGTGTCATTTGTCGCCTGTCACTTGTGTCGTTGTGGTCGTCACGTTGTTGTCATCATGTGTGCCAAGTGTGGTAAAGTGCAACTATTATTTTTGCCACGCATGTTTATTGCTGTTTTCACTTGTTTTGTCACCAACAGCAACAGCAACAACAACAACAAAAAACAGCCACAAACGCATATATACATATGTACTCTCAATTTGTTGAAGGTTTTTTTGTCGTTCATTTTCACTTTTGCTTGTTCTCAAAAGTTTATATTTTTATTAAAGTTTACTCTTGGCATCATTACACAGGCTAATTGTTACATATTTCAGCACGTTTACGCAGTCATTAAAATATTTATATACACGAATTTTTATATTTTTAGAAAGAGTAGCATTTTTGCACTTTTTCTGTGTACAGTAAATTAAAAGTAAACTATGGCATATATTCTTTATAGATTTTGGGGCAAAAAGTTTGCGTATAGTTCAGCAGCAAATCAGTAACTTACAAGGTTAGTTTGTTGATTTAATTTTTTTTTGCCAAACATTTCCTGTCATATCTTTGGCATTTACAGTCGCATCTTAAAGTACTTAATGAACTTTTTCGTTCCAAAGTTCATTGAGCTG